CGTTGTCTCCAGGCTCAAACATCTGCTTTCCCCTCTGTACAGTCTCCCTGTTCTATTCTAAGAAGATCAATTAGTGTTTTCATGCCCTGCCCTCAACTTCCTGTCTTATTTTTAAAAGGTGCCTTTCTTCAGACTCGTCAAACCCTAATGCCATTGCCATTTCCAATGCCTGACTTCTTTCTCATCCCCACTGTTATCTTCAACTTCTTTTGATGGAATGGCTGAGCCATATAAATCCTTCTTTTCTTAAAGTGCCTTTGTTTTAGATGGAGTGAATTGCATGCTGTGTAAGTTTGCCATGTTCTGCTACAGTGATGGGAGGGGGCATTATCTCCTTATAATCTAAAGTGCTTCAGGATCCCTCTGGATATTAGGTTGTATATAAATGTCAGGGATTTTAATTTATCGCTGTAATCAAGTCATAAACTTTAGTGGCTTTTCTCATGGGGAAAGTAGTTTCATTCTCTGAGATGGATGATCAAATTGGAGACTGTCTTCTACAGGATTAAAATAACTTGATTCCAGTGGGAATAGTTAGAGCTCACCAAGAATTTTTGAAGCTGTACTGTTCTGACAGTGGCCTGAAGAGAACAATTAATTTGAACTAGCAGAGAGAAATCAGGGCTTGAAGGTAGTGTTGAGTTATCTCAGTAGCTATTCCAGTGATCTGGCATATCTACATGTACACATTTACTGCACAGTAACTGAAATTACTTTGCAGTATGGGTGCATGTCTACATGTGCATGCCTGCATTGTGCAGTAAATATGGCAACTTATGCCAACTTGAGCGTAAATTTGATACCTGCATCATGTGCCTTACTGCGCAGTAATATTCTGTGTGTGGATTGACTTGGGACTAGTGGGCCAGGCCAGGTCCATTCAGCATGTAGGAGCCCAGGTCACAGAGCACTGCGACACTGCCTGCTCTGCCTGCAGCAGAGCCACAGCTATGCTGCCTGCTGCCACCAGTGCTGCGGGGCCGGGTTGTGGGGCCAGGCATGTGGCAGCCCCTGCTCGAGCCCTTCCATGTCCCCGCAGACTGGGACATCCCCTCCCCCTGCCGTTCCCCATGCCTTTCTACTCCCCATAGCTCCCAAGACCCCCCTCCACTCCGGCATCCTCCTGCCACTCCTCACACACTCACACCCACCCACACCCATAAACCCCCCATCCCCATTCCCTTACTTACCTTGGACCACGCCGGAGGCAACAGGAGCACCACAGAGATGCTCTGGCCAAAACCAGAGCATCTCTTCTGGAGGACTGACTCCTGTGTTTGCTCTGCTGTTCTCCGGAGTGTTTTTTTTTTACCTCTGGATATCCAGGGGTCTAATTTTGTCCCCGCACTGCAAGTTTGCGGCGCAGGGAACATTTTTTTGTTCTCGCATGTGCCTCTTGCCACATCTCGAAGGGGTTTGAGACATGGCAAGAAGCATGTGTGCACTTGTCTGAATGTGCCCATGGTGTCCAATATAGGCACTCAAAGCGGAGTGGACTGATTTGTAAATAGAGGCAGTTTAAGATACCAGTATTGATTTTAAATAATTAACAAAGCTTCCACCCTATTTAAATACTTAATTCTCTTTAACTAAACTAATTTGGAAATGATCATTCAAGCTTTAACATGTATTACCTACAGTATATGACAGATATTGTATTTAGGGCCCACACTTGGTGGATTTTCTTATTTGAATTTTACAAAACTCTGGGATCTGAACCTTTCAATTTTGTTCACACTTTAGCATATATATATATAACTCTACTCTCCAGAAAAGCCCATTCATTTAATGGAACGACTTCTGCTTCAAATCATACATGTAACATGAGTGCTTGTACCATCAGGGATTAAAATGATATTGTTAAACTTAGTGACCAAATCTGTGACATAAAAACAAAATTATTTCAGTGTAAATAATGAAAAATGATTTACATGTACTTTAGCCATGGATGCTTTTTTGAAATCTCACATTTAAGTAGACATTTAAAAAAAGAGTGTAGAGTTCAGCACTTAGATGACAGTTGAGTTTACTGTTTGAAAACAGTGCAACTTGTGCTTCTTCTGGAGCCCAGTTTAACCACTTGAACTTTCATGGGAGGCTGTGTTGCTAGCAAATGTATAATAAAAGCTACTGAATGATCAGTTTAATTTGAATCTCTGGTGTTTATATGACACAGATATAATTGAGGCCAGGAGTATCCTTTTCACCTTGGATCAGTGCTTTTCAACCTTTTTAGACTTGAGGGACACCCCTGGAAAATGCCAGCACTTAACTGTCACTCTCTTTTTGACTACAGAAAAATAATACAGCAGTTTTCTTGCTGCAAAGAACTCGGAAAGACCACAACTATGGATTTCTATTTGAAATCTCCGGGTTTATCTTGTGTGCATCTTGTTGAATCATGTTTGCAAACCTACAGGGTTGACACTGCATGGCACCTCACAGCACCCTAAAAGAATCTCAAGGCACTTCAGGGTGCAATGGCACTCTGGTTGAGAATCATTGTCTTAGATGAACATTTTTAAAATGTGAAACATCCCCATAGGGAAAATCCCTTAGCAAACTCTCAGCTGAATCTGAGATGTATAAAAAGAGAATGTTTTATATATTTTTTCTTTTCTTTTTTTTTTCTTCTCATATTAGTCTTAACTACAAAGAACTATCAACATGTAATTTTTAAAAAATCATTATTTAAATAGAAACATTTTTTGTATAAGTCTTTTAAAAAAAACTTTATGGCTCAGTTAGGTCATGTTTGAAAATATTAGCCCTGACTACTATAAATCTAAGAATATGAGGAACTGCACAAAAAAACTTCACACATTTTCAGAACGCTTGGCAACTGTCTGGTGATGATTTCACACTGGGTTTTTAAAAACTAGTGTGACCATACTGCTAGTGAGAGGTGACTGTTCTGCAGACAGAAATCCTAAATCCACAGAATGGTTGCAGGATAAGTAGCTGTTACTGCTGCCTCCTTCATGTCCTGCCAGGATTCTGAAATGGGATAGGCAATCTTTATCTGTGTGCCTAATTTAGTTTGTGATGCCTCTTTAATGACTGCCAGCAAGACATGTTCAGTTTTTTGGCACTTCTGTAGATGTGGAAAACCATAGGGAGGCCACTATTCTTTGCACACAGACATTTGTCATAGGTACAGGGTAGCTGCATCTCTCTTCCCCCTCTAGTCCGAGTGTCTCTCCTTAGGCCTCATGATTTCACTTCTCTCTGGATGGAATCCTGTGATTCTTCCACTCTGAGACTATGAACAAGTGACACAATTACGGTGACTGGAAAGTGGGAGGAAAGGAGGGACTTGCCATGGTTAGGGTGATCAGTTGTAACTACTAGTATTTCCGAGTCTGATCTGTACTACAATATGTGGAAGGTAAACTATGGTAATTTGGCAGCTTTTTCATTCTGGTGTTTAACTTCACTAACTGTAGGATAAGAATGGATACATGAAACAGATAAAATGAATCAGGTGACATGCGATTACAAGTAGCAAGTCCCCCCTGTTCCTTTTCAATCAGCATAATTGTTCTAATTCTGTAGTCTTCGTGCAGGGGTAGGCAAAATAGCCATCAGGCCAGATCTGGCTCACCAACTGATTGGATCTGGGCTGCAGGTGGGGTCCCACCAATTGACTGGATCTGGCCTGCGCCTGCCCCCAAGCGCTCTGCATGGGGCTGAGCCCTGCCCACCCTGCCCTGCCCTGCGCAGATCTGGGGACATGTGCCCCCCATGCCTCCTGGGGTGTAGTAGCAGGAGCTGCACCCCTGCCCCCCAATTAGCCACTCATGGCTCAGTCCCACCTCCCGCTGGCTGTACAGTGCCTGCCCCTCCCTTAGCCCCAGCCCC